CACTAAACCATGTTCATTTCCTTCTCATGTCAGAAATAGTTCTGAAGCCTTTCCCTCTACTCGGGTTCAGAAATGACCTACTAGGGTTTTGGAAGTAATGATGATCTGAGGATATATGTTAATTTAATGAGTCAGTTTAAAGCCTGAAAGCTTGCACTCTTTTTAACTTTATCAATTGTCATAACACAAAATATGACCTCTCCCTTCAATGCTTGTTTCCCCTGGAGTGCAAAGACACTGTGTGCTGCACTGGTAGTCCTCTGTTAAACCATGCCCATGTTCCAGTCCTATTCACTGGACTGGTTTATTGCAATACCTACACTAACTGTAACCTCCACATGGTGGTATCCTTCAATTTGCCATGCTTTTACAGGGGTGATGATACATGTTATGCAGTTTCATTTCCCTATCTTGACTCTCATGTACACCTGCATGGGTAATTCAGCATAAATATATTTTTCTAAAACTGCCACTTGGTAAATCATCACCACGACATCCCATGATCAATACAACAGCTTGGGGAAAATACATACACTTACATATCTAGCAGCATAAGTGAAGTCTCTACCTTCTATTTCAGGCCAGGCAACAGGAGACAAATGGGAAAAAAAAGACAACCGAGAAAAATCAGATTTTCTATAATTATATAAATTACAGCAAGAATGACTGTAATCACCTAAAATGCCTCTGGGGAGTTGGATTAGCAGAAGACAATTTCTCAGATCCACACTCCAGGGTTTAAACCTAGGGTTGATATTCAGAATTAGACTACCAAGCTAAAATAATTAACCCTTGGGAAGCTAAAATATGGAACTCAGAGGTGTACCATCTAGCTAAAAGGGAGGAATATGAGATTGATGTTACTTTAAATTTCCTATGGATCCTAATATTTGACCAGGTCAGTTAGATCTCACACTTCAGTCCAAACTGTGAGTATATTTAAATAAAAAAAACCTTTTCAGTCTCCCTTCTCTTGACATCCAATAAAAAGCAACAATCACTCAAACAAGTATTCCTTAAAACCAATAGCCGATTTCCTTCAGTAATGTATGTCTCTTGCTAAGTGTATGATAAAAGTACAGATACAGATAAAAAAAGATACAGAACTAAAGCTGATTTGTAAGAAAGAAAGCTAAAATATTGTAAAAGAAATTTAAAAATCTGGCTAGACATGTAAGCAGGGTGGGTGGTTAGGATATGAAAGTAGATGTAAAGAAATTAATAGGAATGCCTTCTTTTCCTTTATTTTCTTTAGACAAGTGAGACATAATTCCTCTTTTGTGGCATATGGAGAATGTCCCTAATATAAGAATTAAAATATTCCAAGAAGCTCCCCTTCACACTTTCTAGTTTTGAGGTGAGATCATGGATGGGGCAGTAGAGGAGGGCAGAGTGAGCAGGTCAGAAGTTATTGTTCCTCCATGTGAATGTTTCCCTAGGTGTGGACAGGGTTTCTCTATACCTCATCTTGAATTTCATACCAGCAAGTGTCAAGGGATTGACCTTAAGCAGAACTGTGAAGGCATGAAGTTGTATTAGTATTATCTGAATCTCCTGCCTCTATGCACTGCAAGTTTTGTGCTTTGCCTGGGGTCTCATCCCATGATTTGAATCCGTTATACTGCCACAAATACCTAAAACTTGTAGCTGCTGAATCTGCTACTATTTGTGAATCCTAGATGAGATGTTACTGTCTAACAATGAAAACATCAATAATTCCCTTAATCATGGTGAAATGTTTTATCCATGTAGATATTGCTTTGAGAATAGAAGTTTGTATGAACAACATCAATCAGGGAGCTCACACAAATGAAAAACTTACAGCCCCACTGGCAGCCACTATTGAAGATTAATGCTGATAAACGCTACATTCAACATAAGATGTGATTTCTGAAAGTAAACCAATTTATTGGATTCCCAGACATATGTATTTTGTAGTCAACCATTGATTACTGACTCAGCTGATTCTACTGTTCATTCATCACACATGCTTATATAAAAGCTGAACTATTCTCATTCAGGACTTCTTCTAATATATAGCACAATTACTTGTGAAGCAGTACTGTTCCAGTTAAAAGCAATTGCATTTGATATCTGCACACTGAAGTGTCTCCATTTACTGTTGCATGTTGAACTGTACTGAATTGTTTTATGTTGGATACCAAAGATGACTGTCATAGTTGTAGGGATAGGAGGCTGGGTTTAGCATTAGATGGGTTCCACTGGGTGAAAGCAGAAGGGACACCACTGTCATTTGTCTGGCAAGAGAGGGAAGGACCTGTCCCCACCAGAGTCGCAGTCCAGCCCCGAGGTCACTGCTCTGCTATCGCAGCCTGCCACAAGCAAGCCCGAAGTCATCACTTTGATGCCTCTTTGCTGCTGTAAACCACAGGGGTCTCTGCCACTGCTGTTGCTGGGACTGCTGCCAGGACTGTGGCCACCACTGCTTCCGTTGGAGTTAGAACTTTTTTGGCAACATAGCTCTTTTCAGATGAGATGGTTTTCCAGGTTTTGCTCTGCCCTTGTTCTCCGTTGTTTTTTGGCTGCAGGAGGGCATTAAACCATGGAAAACTAGTTTGCCATATTGGTTTCTTTGTTCTCCTGAGCTCATAGTTATGGTCCAGCATGGGATCCCCCCTGCCATTTTGTCTTTGTCTGGGAAACCACGTGGAGCCAGCAGAGTGGGATTGGCCACCATTTTTTATTTTATTTTTGTCATGGGGGACCAGGCAATTGTTCTGTGCCTTTGTTGGTTTAAACCATTTTCCTCCATATCTTTGCAGTTACTGCTATTTGCTTCAGTAAATTGTTATTTTTACTTATATTTCTCTGTATTGCCACCTCATTACTAGATGGGGCAGGAGGGAGGAAAAAACAAAAGGGAAGTAACCTATTTGGAGTTCTAATTCTCCAGTGGTTTGTCCAAAACCACTACAATGACTTTTCACTTTTTGAAGAGAGTGTTGGTGTTCATAGCTTTGACCTCTTATTTATTGAACAATAAACACCAAATGCTAGCAAACAAGAAAGGAAAGATCTTGTCTTCATTCCCTTTCCATATAATTACAGCATATTTCCATTCTATCTACTCTTACACATACCTCAGTAATCCAGAGGAGTTGGCATAAACAACAGGTCTGTAAGCAAATTAATGGCAAAGAACGGATGGTAAATGGGTAAAATATTTGATGAGGTTTGTTTATAGGAATGGCAAGATAACTCCCTAAACTGTTGTCAAGTTTTTCTTTACTTTGCCTAAAAAGATAGGCTTTTGTAATCATGTTATGATTTTACAAAGGTACTTGAACAGGTGAGGGGCTCTCTAAGTTTCACACTTAATGTTAGGCACACACTTAAGATGCAGATGAACTAAACACCATTCCTGTTAAGTAAAAAAAAAAAATAGTCTTGACTACATACCTTTTTAATTATAGGAGCCGAAGAAATGTCAATTTTCATTACAGACTTTATTTTCACAAATAGTTCATGCTACTTATGTGATAAGGCTTTCTTATTTTTGTGTCGTTTTTAGCAAAAAAAATATGTCTCTGTCTTTTTAAAAGACATGGCTGCTTCTTAATGCATTGAGATTTTTCTTAATAATGACACAGCACATAATCCTGAAAGCCTGAGGGTAAAGTTTAACCGTTTGGAAAAATGACCCTTTGTACTATTATGAGAACTAGCTAGAAGGCTTTGGTGCCTGAATTTTGTTCCCTCTGTATCATCAATTCAAAACCTGTTGCTCAGTGTGTTAGTTTTGGTTGGGGTAGAGTAAATTTTCTTTAGTGACTAGCATGGGGCTGGGTTTTGGATTTGTGCTGAAAATGGTGTTGATAATAAAGGCATGTTTTTCTTATTGCTCAGCAGTTTTTGCAGAGCATCAAGGCTTTTTCTGCTTTTCACATTGCCATGCTGGTGAGGAGGCTGGGGGTACATCCTGCTTTTGGCTGGAGTAGAGTTAATTTCTTCTCAGTAGCTGGTGCAATGCTGTATTTTGGATTCAGAATGAGATCATACTGATATTTTGGTTTTTGCTAAGTCATGTTTACCCTAAGTCAAGGAGTTAATTTTTTGGTTAGTTTTTGTTTGTTTGTTGTTTGTTGGTTTTGGTTTTGTTTTGTTTTGGGGGGTTTTTGGGGGTTTTCTTTTGGGTTTTTTTTTGTGTCTCATGGTCTGCCAGTAAGAAGGTACACAAAAGAAACTGAGAAGGAGCGTAGCTGAGACAGGTGACCCAAACTGGCCAAAGAGTTATTCCACACCACAGAGCATCATTCTTGGTTTATAAACTGGGGGCTGATCTGGGTTCAAGAATGGGGATCTGGCATCGGTTAGTGGGTGATGAGCAATTGTATTGTGCATTGCTTGTTTGTTTTTTCTTTCCTTAGTATAATAGTAATAATAGTAATAACAGCAACAAGAACGATGTTATTATTACTACTACTGTTACTATGATTTTCACTAAAATATAATTATAATATAGTTATAATATAGTTATTATTATTGTATTTTACTTTGTTTTCAATTATTAAATGATCAAATTATTAATTATTAGACTTTTAACTCTCCTTCCCATTCCACTGGTGTCTGGGGAAAGAGAAGGGGTTGAGCGAGCAGCTGTGTGGTGCTTAATTTCCAGCTAGGAAGAGCTCAATGAGGCATTGTCCATAATTTGTCGTTGGTCCTGGATAACTGGGGAGGTCCTAGATGACTGGAGGTCAGCCCCTTCTCTGAGGCAGCTTGCGATATGATGAGAAGACGTAGTCTTTAGCTGTGCCAGGGGAGGTTTAGGTTGGACATTAAGAGGAATTTTTTCAGAAAGAATGATTAGACATTGGAATGGACTGCTCTGGAAAGTGGTGGGGTTACCATTCCTAGAGGTGTTTAAGGAAAGACTGGACATGGCACTTAGTTCCATGGTGGTGTTAGGTCATAGGTTGGACTTGATGATTTCAGAGGTCTTTTCCAACCCAATTGATTCTGTGATTCTGTCATTCTGAGGGGACCTTTGGGGTTACAGCATTTGTCTTCCCAGCAAGTAGGTGTTCACCCATCCTCAGGAAAGCATGGCTCCATCATCATGGCAATGGTGACTTTGAAAGATAAACGCCCTAACTCCAAACATGTCCCCCTTCTCTTCCTTCTCCCATGCTTTTTGTCATAGTGAGTGCAATGTTATATTGTTCAGCATATCCCTTTGGGCAGTTGAGGTCTGCTGTCCTGGCTGGGTCTACTTCCCATTATCCATGCAACCCCAGCCCAAATAGCACCAGGGAAAGCTGGCCACTGCCTACCCGAAGACCAGGTAGGTGCCTGGGTAGTCTTGCCCCACTGCAAGAACCAGCACAGCACAGAGGTCCATCTCTTGCTGCCTTGCCTGTTATCTTTATTTTATGTGTCTTTACTAAGGCTGAGTTTCCTAGAAGAAGGAAAGACTCTGAGTAACAGACAAGACAATGTATTAGTGATACTGTGGGATATGGAGATGTGATACCCAGCTCTACCTTGAGCTCAAAGACTGAAGTTTACCTGAAACCTAAAGAGGTCATTTGCAAACCCTGACTGTTCTGACAGGACAGAGTAGGCTCACAGAAGGTCTTACTTTGGTGAATTTGAATTGCTTTGAATTGCCAATAGGCACTGGAGCCAATAATAAAATGCCAGGTGGAATCTTTACTGTGCAAAGAACCATTTTATTATCAGCTATACATAGAGTCACAGGAAAAACTTGTGTGATAAGCACTTTTGTATTTCTGGGTGGAAGGTTGGTTGTGCTATCTTTTTTATAAATCTGGTGAGAACATGATGACAGGGATAAAAAGAATCCAGGCAATGAAAGCTTTTTCAGGAGTTGGTACAGCTGAGTAAGAGTTGCAGCTTCATCAATTATAGTTTTACAGTGTTAGCAAAGATGAAGGAAAATTTCCTTTCTTATTTCTTATAACTTGTTTGTTGTCGGATAAATACATTTTAGTTCTGATTCATTTGTCAGATCCTGGAGATTCCTTGGTTCTGAAGCTGTACTAGGTCTTCATTAGGACAGGTATTAACCAAAATGCTCTGTAATTTAGCTGTGTGCACAAAAAAGCAATTTTTTTTTTGTTCTTTCTCTTACCTTCTTCTCTAATCTGCTTCTCACTCCAAGTTCTCAGCAGATAAATATCATTAACTTGATGTCCATCACAGGAGTTTCCTCGGCAGATGTTGCTCTTCTCTGTGGAGTCAGTTTTTGTTACCATTTTTACTGGCAGATTCGAAATTTCATGTGTGGAATTTGTATCTATTTTCAGATTCACCAACACTTGCTGATGATTGCATGCACTTCATCATGTATATACTTTAAATTCATTGTGCAAAGGCTTGTCCTCTCAGCTGACCTCTTGCTGCGTTCACAGGAAGTAAGATACAGCTGTCATGAAACATTGGTAAGCAAAACCTGCTACTCTGCAGGGATAGATGTGCATTGTGCAATGCAAATTCAATATAAGCATTATTATTTTTCATGCCAAGTATCTGTTTATGGCTGTTTATGAAAAAGCCAATCCAATCAGCATGTTAGAGTATACAGAACAACTTCATTCTCATTGGCATTGGTAAAAGGAACGACACACTGAAAATTCCAGTTCTGCTTTGGAACTGCCTAAATGCAATAGCTTTATAATATTGTATGACTAAAAGAAAGATAATCCTCTGAGTGCAATGTAAAGTGATTCAAAGCCCAGCACCCAAAGAGTTTTAACAAGGGACCAATTAAGTGCCTTTGATCATCAGATCTGAATGTTCATGAAAGAGAATGTAAAATAAGTAGATTGAAGAACATAGCCATAAATGCTTTTGTGATTTAGATAAATTTGTTTTAAAACCATAAGTAAAAGTTGAACTTGATGGAAAATGATTGCTAGTCTGTCTAGAGGCATCATGATGAGAAAACATGCTGTTCTGAGAACACCTAGAAAAGAAATATATGCAACCTTTAGTCTGGAGATAGAAGGAAAGATTCTGCTTATGTTAACAGCTGCAAAACAGCTCTGCAGGAAACATGATAAAACACAAATGAACCAAGAGAGAAATAAATAGATGAGCATTGTGCAAAATAAATGGGATTTCATTCTGAAAAATTAGTTCTGAGAACAGTAGAAATGGCAAACATGTCCACTATGGCTTTGTGTCTTGTGATTGAATTCACATCTGCATCAGACACACAAAATAGCATATACAGAACAACCTTTGCTTACCAATTTACTACTTCATGACTACTGTCTCCAATTACTAGTTTTTCTATTGCTAAGTAATCAAACCATCACAAGGAAATAGAGGAGGGGAAAATTATTTTGTTAAGGTCTACCAGAATGCCCACAAGGACTGGAGAATCTTTGTCAGGATGAAGAGCAAGTCTGCACAAGACATATTCCCTAAACATACAATATGAGCCTATTGTGAGTTTAGTTATAATACCAGCACAGGTATTGGAGGCCATAATTGTTTGCATTGACTTTTTTCTTTGCAAGAGAATGGGCTTCCAGTTAAGTTAACACTTGATTATGTTCTACAATATAAACGTTTATCAATGGATTACTCAAAGCTAGTAGGAACTGCCAGTATTGCACTTGATTCCATATGGCCAGTGGTGCCCTAAAAACAACTGCCATTATTTTGGCAATATCACATGTATTAATGAAGTGTTCAATTCTTTGTTGTCTTTCCATGTACAACTGGTCATTCCAATTCAGGGTGCAAGGAAAGGGGACCTAGATTCCTACAAAATGGCAATATTGATATCTTCAGTGAGTCAACACTAGTGTAATGTCTAAATGTGAAGTGAGTCATCATAAATTAAGCTGCAAATTTATAATACTAAGTTGGTCTAAAATAGTGCATTGACTTCAGTGGTGCTGCTATTTCATTTACAGCAGCTGAGAACCTGTACAATGGTCTTTGGTTTAAAAGATATACTTCTTCTTGAAGTATATGACAAAATTTAATTTATTCTATTCTATCCTTGGTAATTGTTTGTGTAATATATAGTAAACCTTGTTATTTCTTTGAAAGTCTTTGCTTTCAGTGGTACTGTGAAAAATTCATAGTTGCTTCACTGAACTGCCATCATACTGTCATGACAATAACGCAACTGCCATTGATTACTGATATTTTACACATAGTCTTACTCTCGCTCCTCTCTACAATCCAGGTTCCTTTTCCGTTGATTTAAACCAAGCCAGTTGCAGAACTGACATTGTCTTCAAAGACAGCTCCATCAGTCTCCAACTATAACAACAATAACATCTTTAAATTATACTGAAGCTTTGCTTTCAAAATGGCTTTTACAGTGAAAGCATCTCTCCTCTCTGTACTGCACTGCTTGCATGTTTATGACAGTCTGACTGTAACTGCGAGAGAAATAATTTAGATTTAAAAGCTATTAGTCTCAGATGTACAATTGAATTTTAGTCTTCATTACAGAAGCCATGGAAGACTGAAGAATAGGGGACAAGGTCGGAGATGTCCAAGGAGCAGTAAGAGGAAAAGGTGATTATCCTGGCAAAAGCCCACAGGTGCATTGCCTTGTTTGAGTTGTCTGACTGGGGAAAAGCTACATCTTTAAGGAATGCTGCTGTCCTTTTAGAGGTATTGTGTGGAGGCAAATGCCAGGGAGATTTATGTGGTTCATTCTCTGACCTGTGATAATGCATCATTAGAGCCCTCCGCGTTTTCCACCTTTGTGAACAAAGACTCATAACAGGGACGATTATGAAAAAAAGAAGAGGAGAAGCTGCAGCAGTGGCAGGAGGGGAAGCGAGGCTCAGGAGGGGAAGCGAGGCTCAGGCACACAGAACTTCATTTAGAAGTTGAACAGAGATATGTTTTTTGCATTGCACCTTCATTTCACTTTATTCTAAGGACTCCATCCTTCCCTGCTTATCTGTCCAAAGGTCAGTCTCCTTGACAGAATTAGAACACAACACAAAGCCAAAACACACATCCCCCCTCTCCCCCAGTTGCCCTTCTCATTTAACCCTTCACTTTCTTGGTGGACATTATAATAAATGTAAGGGCATAAAAAACTTATAAGGAGAGCTGAGGTCACTCATGATCTTTGGTGAGAGCTCTATTGGGTCCTCTGAAGTGAAATGATAACAGCAAAAACTATTTCATGGCCCTGCGTACCTTTGCTTTTATCCTGACCCCAGGCAATCTTTTTATTTAGCTTGCTGAAATGCAGGACTACTGCTCTAGCTGACTGACTGGGGAATAAGTTTATATGTATTTAACCAAACCAGACTAGCATCCCCTCTTCTCTGGCCATGGATGGATATGGATTCAAGCAGTTGTAATGCTTTTCTGAGAACATTACCAAGACATTTTAATCACGGCTTACTGCACTGGTAGATTAGTACCCAAATGCAGTGACCTTCTTTCTGCCGTGGACATGAACATGCCAGAAAACCAAACTGTACTATTCTTTGTCTTGATTCAATAAATTAGGATTAAATAAACAAGAGAGACAAGTGTGATGTACTTTGAAAATCTGAGTGCACCTGTTTTGTAGTGGAAAATTGAATGTTCTTTTTTTTTCTTCCATAAAAACGCTCCTGCCTGTGTTTGTCTCTTAGGGGATGACACTATAACCAGAATTTATGCATGGCTTCCTGCATATTTTGCATTTGGAGGTTGTTAAGAAACAAAACAACAAAAAAAAAATTGGTCTACATTAGGAGGTATTAGAATACATTAATCTGACTGTCTATTCCTCTACTGCACTGAGGTCTGATTTCACGAATGTGCACAAGAAAGTGAATTGTAGGGGAGCAGAATTATGGAGGGAAGAGCTACCTGAAAGCCTTACAACCATATTTAAAAACAACCATCATCCTGAAGTGCTATGGCTGAATGCTTCATTCCTGGGCACTGTTGTTTTGGCACTTCCATTGAGGAAAAGTAAGCATCAGATACACATCAAACTACTTGTGATCTGTATCCACTTTGTGTTAGTCTGTGTGGATACATAGTAAGAAAGGGGGGGGTGTCTGATCTTGAAATAGAATATCAACTTCTCAAACCAAGAATGTTTCAGAATATGCAGCCCAGGCTTTTCTCAATTTTACTTCCTTGTGCATACAGAATGAGACGTTTTACAACATGGTGGGGTTTATGGCAGCATACATCAACAGATATAAAAGTGTGCATACCTTCAGGCATCTCTGCCTTCTTCCGTGTCTTGGAAATGGTCAGAGAAGCATCTTCCACCTTTGTGGAGAGGTGCAAGTGCATCAGTTATCCTTTTCTGCAGGGAAAAGGTGGTGAGTTGGATATATTTTGTCATGTTCCACCTGTTAGGAGCTGGTTTCCATCAGCAGTACTGTATTACAAATCGAGACTATCTGTTTTTATTATCTAACATGTCAACATCCAGACAGGAGCAGCAACATGATGCTTACTTTCCATATTTAGGAGACTCTATTTCCACATATGCAAGTAACCAGCTAGTGTCAGAGGCAGTGGCATGTTCTGCACATGTTCACAATCAGATTTGAAGTAGGGACCATTGTGATCCAAAAAGAAATAGCTTTGCATGGTAAGCAAATGAGAAAGCCTCTGTATCTTTGAGCTTTTTTGAGTGTTTGCTAGGGTAATCTCGCCTGTTGATTACTCTTTGAATACTTCTGATGATGTGGAAAATAAATCATTCACAACAAACAAGAAAAACAACCAAGCAACATAAAAAGGTGAGGCATAACAGATGTTTTGCTTAAGCATGGTTGTATAATACTTGCATAAAAATGAAAGTGTTTTATTTCTCTCATGTCCTGAAAGGCATGTGGTAAAAATAATTTTATTACTAGCAGGTGTCTTCCTCAGGTGGTCAGGTAAAAAATTAAAAATATTTTTATAATGGTTATAAACGATTCTACATTATCTTAATTGCGTATAGTCAAAATCAAGATAGTACAGAAGTATTTGATGCACAAGAGAAGGGCAAGGCAAAAAAATTGCAGTTTGTACAGTTTTGTTCTGTGTATTAAATTCGATGAAAGCACCTCTGCAGGTAGAAAGCTGTAGTTGCCTTCAAAAGAATGTATTTTTATGTGATTCCTTTTATGAAACAGCAACTGTAATTCCAGCACTTCACTTATGACATCCTTGACTCAGCTAAGTGCTTAAGCATCAGGCTAAGTTTAGGTCCCACTGAGATAACTTACTTGTGTAAAGGTCTTTACGCAACAGAACAACAAGATGGCAAGAGCAAAATAATTTAGGAAAAAAGTGCAAAATGCACTAGATGCTAGTGATATAGGTGATAGGTGAGAAGGAAAAATGAAGCTTTTCATTTGACAGCTTCAGTGGTGTGTAACTGTTTTAGGAAGAAGTTTCATGAAATATATGGGAAATTTATCTAGAACATTACCTGGAGAAGTAAATTTGAAAGTGACTAAGTCAAAGGAAGTGAATGTATTATTTCTGAGGAGAGATTGAGTAGATGGAGACAAGGCAGAGGACATCAGATTAATGAGAACAGTGATCATTGTGTGTGGAGGACAAAAGAGAGAGATGCAGAGGGATTGCATCACACACAAATAATCAATTGCTGTGTTTGTACTGTCAAACTGAAAATATTGCTACTTTATAGGGGTGGATACTCAGGGTATCCTCTACTGATGAAGTATTGTAACTTTCTATGTAAGGCAGCTTTAACATGTACACTAATCTCCAACCACTCACCGTTCAAGCAACATCAAATTGTAACCACACATATGTGCCAAATTGACCCTGCTTCCTCTTGCTTCACCATTGACAGTTCCCCAAAAGAACATATCTTCTCCCTTCAGAGCAACTCACTTGCACAAGGTTTGGTATGGTCTTACTGGAAATAGCAAGCAATGTAACAGGTGTAAGAAAAGGAGATTCATTCTAGAAGATCTTAGAGAGTTATGAGATTTTTACCTGTTCTTCAGAAAGGAGTAAGATCTGCTTTTTGGGTAACATAAGCCACCTTCATTCTGCTTCACATTTCTTCTTTGTGTTGCTGTGAGAGCTCCATAAAACTGAAGTCAGTCATTTCCAAGACAGGAAATGTCTGACAGTGCCTGATGAGCAGCAGAATCAGAGATGGATCCATTTCTCTGTCCTGATCAACACACCCCACTGCTATCTGACTGTCCATTACAGTGTTAATGCCAAATTTTTGCTTCAGTATTACAGAGCATCAGCTCTAAGTGGGTCATACCCAGGGGTCCTGTTTACCTGACTGATCCTTTTATTAAGAACGGGAGATGTAATATGTAGTGTCAGGAGTAAATTACACTCACCCCTTAGAATCACACTTGTTGATCCTATAAATACTCCATGCATAGGTAAACCTTGGTGCACTTCCAAAGCCTGGTGCTGATGTATTGACTCTTCAGAACTTTTCAATGTAAAAACAACTTGGAAAATGTTTTGAGATGTACAATGAAGTGTAGCAAGAGTTTAAAAAATTTTGTCATCAGGTTGCAAGATATCCTTCCATAAGTCACGACTATCCACTTCTCACGCACAAGGGTCAACCAAGTTTTCTAACAATGTACACTAGGATGATAGTGGATCTAGGACTCTGCACTCACCGCTTTCACTTCCAGTGAAAGCAAAACTTCCTCCTTGTGCAGTGCTGGAAAGCCTTGCAAAAGAGAAATATGTGTTTAAACTCCTTTAGATGATGTGAAATTCACGTGGTTGTTCATACAGTTCCAGAATTAAAAAATCATATCCAGGTAATCAGAGGTTAGAAAATAACGCTCCAAGAATTCCTACTGCAAATCTTGACATTAAACCAATCTTACCCTTGTCTTGCCACTTGAATCATTTATTTAAGCGGTGATAATAAAAGGTGTCAGCAATTCAGTTGTAAGCTCTTGAAGATTTCTGTGCGCATTGACCTTTAAGTGTTTGCATCTTGACAGGTGAGCTGTTCTTAACGTCCCCTATGAGATATGGTGGGGGCAAGGGGTCAGGCATGCTAATGATAAAATTACCATTTACCTTTTACCTCACCAGTCTCAGTACCTGACATTATAAATGTAGGTAACCTTTCACCTGAAGGATCTCTTTCTTCTGCACTGCTAAGGATTATGCAGAAATGAATGTGCTTGCAGCTGCAGAAGAGGTATCAGTCATGAATAAAAGGGGCTTTTGGTGATCTTTCCCTTTAATTTTCATTTTTATTGTTTTTTGAATTATATTTTTGGAAAAAAGCATGAAGAGTTTTGTCCTGTTTTATTTTAAGTGATGATAATCTGGCTATTTCTATTCTAGCATGCTAAATCTATTCGAGATTATTCTGTTCTTTCTTATTAAGATGAAAACATTATTTGTTAATTGATTAATACAACTGATATCACAATAGTCAATAAGGTTTCTTTCAGGTATAAGTGGCCACATTAATGAGACCATATTGATGATCTTCATTGTTTGCCATAGCCCAGCAGAGTCAACTCATTCACCTTTGCATCCTGATCCAAGTTTTCCCATGCTTCCCCAATTTTCTGACTTTGGTCAATATCCCTCTCCCAAAGGCAATACAATTCAATCTGTGGTAATGGGTACATAACAGCTTTGGAGATAACAGTATGAGTCTGAAGACTGTATAAGGACTGCTGATCTCCCATCCACCTACGACGTGCCTGATTGCTCAGAAGTAAACACTTAGACAATATGATATACTGTGAAGATTAAATAACAAGAGTGGGGAGTATTTACTTTTCCCCATAAAAAATATTTCATATTTCTAAAAGTGATGCATATTGTGGATAGAACAACTAGCATGTCTTGGAGAAATATTAAAGATGGTGCTAGGTGCAGAGCCTGCATTTGGCTGATTCATGGGCAGGTGATTCATATCCTGATTTGAAATATGTATCTTTCTTGCCAGATTTAAAGCATATGAGGGTGGAAAACATGAAGAGACAGACACAGAAAATCAGATTCAGTTCCCTTCACTGATCAAGAGTCAAATGATCACAAGCTTAAGTAGAATTACCTCCCTGAAGAACAGCCCCTTTCTGATAAATGCAGTCATGTAACTGCTAGGGCATAAATCGTGCAAATTGAAGACTATAATTCAAATATAAATCTTTATATTAAGTTTAGTGAAATTTGGTATTGTGTGAACATAATTCATATCCATGAATCTTCAGGCACAAATCTTGTTGCATTTTATTCATGTAATAAGGATATACATTTTGCAAAAGTTTCATTCAGCGAATATCGACCTTAATGAAATTGTACTCTGGGAAGTCTATAAAAATTGTTTCATCTCCTTCATATTGGAAAAACCTGAGTAGACCTGTTTCTAGTTTTATCTGTTCATGTACACACACAGAGTTCAAGCATCTTATAAGTGAAAGGCACAACTTCATTACCTTATTAAGTTGGCAGAGTAAGGAAAAGGTTTGACTGGTACATATTGAAAGGACAGAGAGGTTACAATGCTGAAAAAAAAAAACAAACCACAGAAGAAATATTGTCCCTTCTAGAAAAGTGTATAACTCTTCTTTCACATCAGCCTGCGCTGCTTCTGCCATCAGGGAGTTTGTGAAGTAGCGAAGCAGAACAGAAAGCACAGGAAAAGCCTTCCTCTGGGAAGCTTGTACTCAAATCAAACGTGTTGAAAGGACACAGACAGGGATGTCATTCAGGCTGAATAGCCTGACAGAGTTATTTCCAGGCTTATCAGATCATGTTCCACTTGTCTGAATACTCTTGTTTTACTTCTGTGCATCAACATGAACTCAGCCCCCAGCATCAAAACGAGATTCATTTCCACAGTAGAAAGGGTTCAACTGTGCTTTTCAGCAGGTTTCCCTTCTACTCCTCTGCCCATCTTTCTCCTGAAATGGATTTCTTCTTTTACATTCATACTCTGAATTTACAGTGGTGTAACTATTTTCTAGTAATGGTTTAGACCACAGAGGCACACACAGTATTGTAGAGATATGTAGGAATTTTAATAACAATATGAAAGGTTGCAGGGACTCCATAGATGTCATAGAAGTTGCTGGCAACATCTATAAATAGATTTTACAGATTATTATGTAGTCCCATCCACTGATCTATTTCTCTGGGACCGGGACTAATATTCTATGCTTCTGCAAATTGTCAAGCACATAATATCAAATATATCGAGGTGAAAAGAGGATCCTGCCAGTAAAATATTTATTTTCCCTCCTTCAGACTGCAGCACATTGAAGGATTAGCATAGGCCAGGCTCAGCTGGGCAGTCAGTTTCTGATTCTGAGTTAGAAAACAGGAGTACTGTGAGCACTTATGGGGCAAATTCCTACATTGACAGAGAACACACATTTAGCCCTCACAAAACCTGCAGTGTTTCTCAGCATGGATTAACATGATCTTTGCAATATCATGCCAGTAAAATCCCTCAAATACTGGATTATGCTCTGTCTCATCCCCTTTGTGTTCATTGAATATATATGGTGCTAACTGGCTTCAAGGAGTCTTTCTTCTGATTTCCCCAGGGGTATCCACTGAAGGTTTGATCCTGCAATACACTGAATATGCTGAACATTTGAGGAAGGCAGAGGAATTTGAGAGCGTGGAGGTATCTCCTGGCTACAGACATGAAGAAATGTGTTGCACCAGCTATGTCTTGTGCACCTTTGTGCAAAATCTTTTCAGGACAGCAAGAGCAAGACAAAACAGTGGCACTTCAAAAAAAAAAGAAAAGATAAAAAGAAGTCTAGTAAGAAACGCTTCCTGGAGATCTGGAGGGAAATCTTACCATCATCCCCAGTATTCAAAGATTGCTCTATTCTGGGTAAATACTGAAATTACCTTCAGAGAAAGACTTCAGTGAACTCTAGATCTACCACTTATACCTAACACTATTCCATGACATCTTGCTATGCTTTATACGCCACCAAGCACATGGAAATTGTTACAAATCAATACATGGGTTTGTTTTTTATAAGTATCTGTAGCAGAAAGGATTTATTTAAATGGAAAAATGTGTATTTCATGTGATCACTTTCCAGATTTCTCATTATTGGTAAAGCTTAATCAGGGGATGAGTTAAATTTCTTACTTACGGCATAGTATGCTGTGCAAATATTTCCTAAATGCAAAAGAACTGCATGTGTATATGTGTGTGTACACATACACATAGATATGCAAATAAGTATGCAGGTATAATGTACATATATGTAAGCACATGGAAGTGCATATCCTTAGCAGCAACACAAAGAATCAATGCGTATTACAATTAAATGAAGTATGTAATTTCTGAGTTAAGATCAAGACCTGGGAAAGGAAATCTGTGTACAGGGCTGGCAATCCTCTGGGGAAAAAGCCGGGAGAGTTGATACCTAAAAGGTTCATTCACTGCTTCTTTCTTCTCTGGAAATGCTGAATGAGAAACTCAGGTGCAGCATTTCCAAAAGCCTGGCCTAAGAGTGCTCCTGCCTGTCAAGGAATGTAATGGGAAAAGACTTTCAGCTTTCATGCAAACTCTGCTCCTTCATCCAGCCTTACTTCAACTGCTGGGAAGAAAGATGTGAAGGTCCTGGGATGACTGTGATATCTGTGAGCAGAATCGTTTTCCTAACTGGATGAAAAACATTTTCTTCTAATGAGAAAACCTGGAAAACAGCTGAAATCCCAGAGGTTTTAAATCTCCATGGTTATCTTCTTATGTATTTCCACTGAAGAATGTAGTGGGAGTCAGGGCTATCTGTGAGGACATAGTGTTGCTATCTCTAATTAGACATTATAATTTCTTCTGGACTGGAAGCTTTCCCATGCCTTATTAGATTTATTAATGTGTGTTTATAGTACTGCAGTTGTATTTTGATGATTTTAAGTCGTCTGAGACTGAAAGGGAATAAGATGATATTTCTACTATAATTTGTTCTGCATAAGGCCTGTTTCCTTTAATACTGAATTCCATTCTCCATTTGTGCAGCTACTGGACCAAATCAGCTCGTGCCAACAGGCACACTCTGCTAACAACTCAAGAAGTTTCACCAGTTGACACCAGCTAAGAATTTGGCTCCACAATTTGAGGGAGGGAGAGACAAAAATAAAAGAAGTATTATCGTGTCAAAATATATTTTCAGTTCCATCAGACCAAGTCTAGAGTAAGTTCATGTAAAGCAAGGAATTTTTTTAAATTTTCTTTGGTGTAACAGAAAAGAGTTTGTCCCTGAGCATTTATGCCTTTGAAAAAATCTCAGTCAAGCAGAAAACACTTTTTAGACAGTCTCTGAGATGCTAATGAAACCCAGAGCAACCCACTGATCTGCAAAGTACCTCCTTTAATGAATTTACACACACACATATGTGCATGTGTATGTATATATATACACACAGTGTAACTGGGGAAAAAAAAACCCTAAGCAAAAGAAAAAACCTCAAGACGAGATACAGTACCCTTTAAGTACAGAGCTGTTTAAAATATCAATCTCCTTATTGTAATTTGATGTGTGAAATTCAGGCACGCATTTACAATTCAGATCCCATTCCTTAGGGATTCCCATTTAGGGCCTGTTCGTATGATTTATTTAGTGCCTTTCTTCACTTACTTACGCTTGAGATCGTTAGGTATAATGCACATATATGCACAGGGATAAAATGTTTATCATCATTACTTCAATGAAGTCATTTGCCATCCTTGACACCCTCTAATGTCCCAAGTGCTTCAACCCACTGGCTCATTTGCCCAGCTTTGCTCTCTCTTCAGTTTTTCATCTCAAATTCTCCATGTGTTCTCTTCATCAATCACTGATGTTTAGTCGGTAGCAGGAGGGAAGACAGCAGAATAATTATCCAAATATAACAAAAGAAGGTCCCCTTTGTGATGCAAGAGGGACAGGGAGGGGGGAGGGGGAACAGAGGAAGCATGAGTGTGGATTTCATGCTTCTTTGAAAACATTAATGATGTTTAATGGAAGCCAAAGAACCCACTGGAAGTCATCATGGTCTCACAACTGTGTCCCACATAGCTATGCCGAGGACATGGTTTCCCCCCCCCCAGTGTCCTCTTTCTGCTCTGCCTCTCATTGCCCCAGGTTGCCAGCATTTCACCACCACTGATGTTTGCAGTCAGGAACCACTTCGAATGTACCCTTTTGGGTCTATTTTTCAAAAAACTAGGATCCAAATCACTGTGCTCTGACTACATTCACCTAATTGGCCCTTGTTTTCGATGACATTCATGGAGTGGGGATGAACAAATTGAAGATGAAAGGGTGGGCTAGTGTGGGGGCAGGGGGAAGTTAGCATGGCCTGGGGCACAGTGTCATACACAACTGGGGAGAGGCGAGGAGGGTGCAGGGTCCCCAGGTGGCTGTGTGCAAGGTGACTTTTTCACTTTCAAAGAAGATTGGTCTTTCACATTTCTCTGCCCCCCTAGTACAGACACCAGCTGCAAGATGGTATTTCTCTGTGACATGAAAGCAGGAATATACAAAAAGCCTTGTAGAGTCTAGTGCTAGGGAGACAGATCCTAGAGATGTTCATGCTCAGGAAAATGTTTTTAGGGGTGCTTCAGAGCTCAGTGAAATGGTGATTGCCAATGTGTGCTAGATCTGGGAAAAGACAGCTTGGTGCATTGTTTGGTCAAATGCTGTATATGCTACTGTGGGTTGGCCTAGTTAGGACTCTAGAAAAATGAGATCGATAAAATGATAGCCCAGAGTTGGCACAAATTAAAACAGAAAATTCTCATGTAGACCACAAAACCAACACAGAGCAAAAAGCAATCCTCTTGAAACAGAATCAAACAACACAAGATGGAAATGAACAACCATTCACCTACTTATTTTTCTCAGTGAGTCCATGCAGGACTTTGATCGTTTACTCAATCATTAATATTTGCCACACTCAAAATTCAGTCAGAGTGACAAATACCAGAAAGGAAACTCAGGGTTTCTGAATGATACCTGACATTTCCAAGCCCCAGCAAAAGCTTTGTTTTACTTTCAGTGCACCCTTCTCCCTTTTCCTAAATATGAAGAACTTTGTTTGCTGCACACCTAGTGGAGGGGACTGACATAATCAGGGAAACATATTACAGAGAAAATTAATGTGGTTTACATCAGAAACACAGTAGCAGTGATTGTCTTTGATTAAAACAGGAAACTCTTTCCTCGAATACGTCTACTACACCAGATGATAGAGGCAGATGTCCTACCAGGGAATTCCCAAGCCATTTGTTTGTTCAGTTTTAGGGAAAGAAATGGAAGATGAACTACTGGTACTGGAACCATAGCCAAAATCTATACCTCTACAGAAAACTAAATGTTCTTTTTTTATTTTTTTTTGGGGGGGGGGAGGGGAAATGTATAAGCCTATATATAACCTGGCATACTTTAATCTCCTTCTATTTGAAGTATGTGAGCTAGAGGTCACATCAGGTCACTAATGGACCTTTCCCAGTCTTTTGGGAAAGTCCCAATGGACTTTCTCAATCTTTTTTGAATCCATCTAGCATGTTTGTCTCCACAACATCTAATGGTAATGAGTTCCACAGCTTAATGAGACATTATATGAAAATAAAATAATGGACTTTTCTAGATCTTTGATGGAGATTGGTCATTTCTGCCCATGGGAAAGTGTGAAGAGTGCAGTTTTTCTTAGTCATTTTTCATGCTAAATCTTAGCATGTCAAAACCAAAGTAGACTAGTCAGTCTTTCATGGCTCCTTCTCAGAATTACATATTGGGACATTTTTCTGCTTTTTAGAAATGGTCACTTCCAGTTTAACAAACATTCAACATTCACTCACTCATTTTTCCTGCTAAGTGTTTTAGTGTTTTCTATTTTCTTCTTTCTGAGCCTTCAGGAGGAGATTAGAAAGACTATGCTTGAAGATTATGAAAGAGATAACTTATCATGGCTGCTTTGACCCTTGCAGGTGACAGAGGGTTTGAGCCACAACCTTAGCAAAATTAACAACCTTAACAAAAACCAAGTGATGGTTTTGCTATTTTTTTTCTTATCTGAGATATAAAAACAGTGCACTGTAGCACAGAAATGACACATAAAGCTATGGAGAAAAAGCAGAAAGGAAATTCCTCCAAAGAGGGAATGAATTAACATTCTCTCCAGGGAAATGGATAGAAATGTAAAAATCATAGAGGTAGCGTGTCATCTATGGCATCTATTTTTTGTTAATACTCTTTAAAGCAATACTTGGAATGATTGAAGCACTTATCATTATGTCCACCATGTAATTTGCTCTCCTACATGTCAGGACTGGTAGGCACCAAATAAATAAAGACATTTCATCAAAACCCACTCAGAATGCTACACATGTCCTGGAAATAAAAGGAATTTCCCCATGTTGGTTTGGTTTTTATCTGGTGCAAAATGTCCATCCTGCAGCATTACTTTATTTTCAAACTGGGACTTACATGGCACCTTCATGGCACCTGCTCTGTATCTTTTACTCTCCTGAATGCTTTTCCAAAAACAGGTAGCATGTGTCCAAGGTATCGAAATCATACAAAATCATAACTCACATTTGTTCCGTGTCAGACCCAGATCTTCAGGGTGAAATGTGCCGTGTAAATAAGAGGTAAAGGAACAAAACAGCTCAGAGAGTATTCCTTGTTTGAAGGCTAGGAGCAACATTTACTTTTTCTGAGTGATTGGCTTCACTCCATCCAATTGGTGTAAAACCAATAAAATAGCCCTTGAAAACAGAGCTACTTGGGATAGTATTCCTAGTATTACCTTTAATTATTGGTTTTCCCAGCAACTATGGCATTCATTTAGCTACTTAATTTATGTAGCCAGGAGCAGCTCTAGATATAA